TGATTTTAGGGCATTATGAAATAGAAAATTATAATGGGAAAGAACAGGGAAGAAAGAGGAATAAGTAGCAACGCGCACCAGACTAGCCCGTGCGATCATGCGTTTTGTGCAGTTCAACCCATCGAACGATTGCCTGTTAATGATTTTCACTGCTTTTTATTTTTGTCTATGCTAAAATAGTTCAAACATTGGAAAATAATTGAAAATTTCACCCACCAGCGCATGAAATCTGAATCCGAAACAGTGAAGAGTGAATATCTTTCCGTGATTCCATGTAAATGACCCCGTGACAATATTTGTTTTGTAACGCTGTTGCACAGCATAAAACGCATAAAAAGGGAAAGGTGAGAAATGAAAATTAGTTCACACTAGCCACAGAGCATCTTCTATCAAGGTTCTACCTGTTCTGCTAATATTATCAATTTTTTACCCTTTTTCAACAATTCTAAATTTAATGTAACCCTTCCTTCTCTTCGTTTCTTTCTCTATTCTGTCTTCCCTGAACACCACCACCGTCATACTGACGAGGTCCAGTCATGATATTGAGCTAAGAGTATATGACTTGATGAATCGAAACGTCTTAACTCACTATTTCCACATTCACTCATACTTTATTTGCTCCGTGCCTTCGCTTTCTAAGCTCCTAGCATCAACTTGTAAGCAATAATCAGCTTAGAAAATTTCTGAGATTACTATAATGGTACGAAGTGTTTCGGTCCATTAAGTCGTATACATTTCTTACCATTACCACAATTGAACAGACAAGCAACATGCATGAATAGCATTTTTCACTTTCTGAATATTGGAAAGTTTATGTTTTTGTGTTTTTATTTCTCGAGCGTTCAAGTGCAGATGGAAACTGAAAAATTCAAATTTTTCTGGAAATCATGAAACTAAAATCAGTTTTTTATGCTACTTTTTAGTTTAGCTTTCATTTAAAGTCGAGCTGAAAGGGAATCAAAGAAAGGTACAGAGTGGTAATTTAAGAAACTTCATAGTAAAATCAGCTTCCGAACTTCACATATTTCGCAAAAATAATTTCACTCCCAAATTCGGCACACTCTGGTCTGTGTATACAGCTAAGGGATGAAATACAGACTGCGTCATAAAATGTCTTCATACACATGACATTCAAGTGAAATCCTTCTATTCCTCTATTTTCCTAATTTTCAATTGTAGACTGATATTTATTTCGATTTTTGTCAATAAGTAATGTGAGTGAGATGAGTTTTTAGGTTTTGCCGCACGAAACAACCACGTCTTCTGTGTATTGTCAGATTCATCCCCTATAGGCTTAAAACAGTTCATCGTAGAAAGTTACGATCGTGCAACTCCGATTTAAGAGATATCATCCGAAACTAAGAATTGTTAGATTTCAACCGATACTGAGAATTATTGAATGTCATCCGTTACTGTGATTTCCATGATTTTCATGAAAAAAAACCATGATTTTTTTGAAAAATCCGTCATGGATTTCGAAAAAATGGTGGATTTTTTGTACGAATTTTAGGTGTCACCTGGATTTTTCAACAACCAAATATAATGAAGAAATTCGCAATATTGCTTATGAGAAATTTGGTGGTGGTAAAGATCTAGAAGGTGGTAACAAAAGCAGCAACGCCCGTACTGCTTCTCCTTCCCCTGATGTCTACATAATTGGCGAAACTGGCATTAATCAAGAATCGAAACAACGTTTAGCAAAAGTGCTAAAGCAGTTGGAGGAATGGGCTACACCGTTTGAATGCTATCGTATCACTATGATGGAGAAAAAATCAAACACAGTGGAGCAAGAGGTATCACTTTTTAAATGCCATACTTGAATACTGGAGCAGCTATATGTCATCGATGTTCATTTATTTAAGGATAAGTGAAAATTTCGGCGAAAAATGTAGAAATGGATGATAGAAAAGGTCAAAAAAGAGTAAAAAAAGATATAAAAAGAAGTAATAAATTGGGTAAGAAATGTTTCGGTCCATTAAGTCGTATACATTTCTTACCATTGTCACGCCATCGATGCAACTTCTTCATTCTTCTCCATTCGCTGTTGCTCTCTCCGAGTCCACATGGTACCGTACAGGCGTACCACTGGGGTCTCTCCACCTCACTACTGGCCTCCTCAGTTTTCGCTTGACCGTGCGCGGATGCCATTCCATTATCCGTTTCGTCCATCTTTTATCTGCCATCCGTGCCACATGACCAGCCCATCTCTTCTTACTGGCGTACATTGCTTCAGTAATGTCTTTCACGCCAGATCTGGCTCGCAGCACTTCATATGGAATGTGCTGTAGCTTGTTGACGTCAACCATCCGCCGCTCCATTGGTGTTTGGGGGACTGCCAATTCCTGTTCTTCAGCAAGTGTGGTATTCCACGTCTCACACCCATATAACATGGCTGGGAATTGTAAACTGCCGCTTTTGCAGATGAAATGATCTTCTTATCGTGGAATATATCGCGAAACTTGGCGAAAATTATCCACCCTTTTCTTAATTATTAAGCTGTAAAAGCCATATAAGATTAAAAATTGTAGAAGAGCTAGTAGAATGCAAAAAGCCGAATCCATTTTTATGTAATTAATTAGAACAGTGGAGTAAGAAGATTGGAATTAGGTGTTATATATAATGAGACATTTTAGCACAAAAATTTTTTAGCACAAAAACCCCCACTAGGATCTTTTAGTATAAATCTTATTTTTGCGAATCGTTAAAAAATGCTTTTTTTTTTATCAGTCATTCGACAGCATCCTTTTGTTGCAGGGCGAAAAACCGGAAGCGGAGAAAAGTGGAGCCGAAGTAAGCAGTGGAAAGAAACTGTGGTCACATTTCGATCCTGCCACAAATCGCGGACCTGCTG